CATCTGCTCTCCATTGATATGTGTCAGCTCAAAAGGAGTGGGTGAGCTACAGCCAGAGAGCCAAATCGCCTCCTGTTTTTGTAAACAAAATTTTCCTGAAGCACGGCCATGCTCAATGATTCCTTATTGTCCCCCAACTTTCACACCCCTTCCCAGCTGAGTTGAGTGACTGCGGCAGAGACCATATACCCCATAAAGTTGAAATATTTTATAATCCGGCCCTACAGAAACTGTGTGCTGGTCCCTGACCCAGAAGTTCTCCATGGCTCTGTGCCTTCTGTCTCACTGAATGTACTTGGTCTTGCTCTCAATGTTCCAACACTACCCTCAGCTCCCAAGTCCAAGGACAGAGCCCCACTGGGGTCCAGCCAGCTCAGGGCCCTCGGGGCTCTCTCTCTCCCACACCCATCCTCTACTGTCCCAGCTCTGCCTCACCCCCAAACCACCTATGTGGAGACAGGGTCAGGTCGCAGGTTGTGCAGCTGGCATCCTGGCCCCCCTGCTCTTAGTCATGTTTACCTAGTGCACAGAGTCTTGGGACTTGGCCCTGAGCATTTCCGTCACACGTGTCTGACGAGACTTCTGCTCAGATAAATATTCTCCCTTCCCACTTAAGAAAGGAAGAGCTTGGTGGTTTTGCTTCATTGACCAGAGACTGACATGAGACCCAATTCACGTGGGAGTTCCCAGCAGGACTCAGAAGCTCGGGTGACAGCTATGTAGAGCTGGGTTTTCTACTCCATGGCTCTGTGTCGAACTTTCTAGGCAACTCTGGGAGAGGTGTTGCTGTTCTTATTCTTGTGCAAATCCAGACTTCTCAGTCTCCTGAGATGGGCCTTCAACTCCTTCACTTTAATATAAAATCAAAAGACTCAGGTCAAACTCAGTGTGGCCAAAGAGATAGCTCATTGCCATTTTTCTCCACGGGGGATATGGTGGTCATTAGTGCAATTTCACAGAGTTCCTGGATCTCTTGCTTTTCTGTATGTGATAGGATTGGACTTCCCTACAGTTAGTTTGTGGTTAGGTGTGGTCATGTGATTTGCTTTGGTCGACTAAATATAAGCATAAGTGATGTGTGTTATTTCTGGGTAGAAGATATAAGGGCTAGCTTGTGTTTGCTGTATTCTCTTTTTCCATGCATGGTAACCAGCAACATTTGAGGTACTGATTGCTTCCTCAGCCTGGGTCTCTGAGTAACTACAGATAACAGAGCCCCTTGCTGACCCTCAGTGGACATGGAATAAACTTTTGTTTATTATACAGAGATTTGGGGATTGTTTGTTACTGCAGCATAATCAAGTCTCATCCTGACTGATACAACAGGGAAAAACTGGAACCTCTACTCAGTACAGCATGTACTCCCATTTACAATTCTGTTTCTGAGAAATGATAACATGGGGAAATGCTTTTGATATAACAAAAAGAAAAGAAGGGTAAGATACAAATATATACTTACCATATCATTAATGCTCTATTTAAAAAATGTTTTTAGTATACCACCACACCCCTTTCTCTCAAAGAAGTGAAGTAAAAATATTTGAGTGCTCATAATCATTGTCTTTATATGTTGGAAGCTTGTACTCTTTGCTTCTTTTGTTTTCTGAATTTTCTTGGTACTTGAATACATTTTTAAATGTCCCAGTGTATCATTTTTAAGTACTCAGCAGTGCTTGTTAGATGAAGAATGATCTCTCTATCCTCATCTCTCATTCTATGTATCACCTCTTTCATATCCCAGCATATCAAATGCATTGTATAGAACTCTCCATTGGGTCCTCATCAGCTCTAGGGAGTCCTCTTTCAAGGACATGTACCAGTGTCTTAGTTGCCTTTCAGAGGTTCCCAACCCAGTGAACCTAGAAGGAGTGGATACATACTCCAAGGATCTAAGAGATCAGGTCTGGGCCCATGGCTTCTTGCTCTCATGCAGGCAACCAAGCTGTCAACCAGTATAGCTTCAGGAGTCAATTCTGATACCATAGATATATATCATACTTCCTTTAAAAAAGAGTTATCCTAGTCATCATGACCTGGTTTGTTAGCAGTTACAAACCACGTAACCTGACTTCCTCACTTTACAGATGGCAAGATTTGGGCTAAGGGGTGTTAAGTGACTTTCTTGAATGAAATAACGACAGAATTTCGTTAGTGCTATTCATTCTCTCATTCCCTCTGAAACACATCCTGTCTGCTATTTGCATGATTCTCAGGTAGGCTGTGTAGGAATTGTAAGGATGAATGAAGCACAGCATTCGTACTCCAAGATTCTCACGATCAAGTATTTGGAGATAAGGTATTCAAAAAACTGTTCTCATTTGGCATAATTTGGGCTAAAATTAAAGAAGCCAGATTTCTATATACTCTCTAGCAATTGATCAGATGTCTGTGTTTTTGTTGTTGTCTTTTATTGTGTGAGACTCTTGTCTTCCCCGTAGGAACTTCCACCTGAGAACTGACCACAGCATCCCCACCCACCAGGTGCCTCGTTCCCCTTTTCCCTTCAGTGGTTGCCAATCTTTTCTTTCTTTTCCCATGATAACCTTTTCATAAAGGAAATATTAGATGGAATACCTGTATGTAATGAGTGGGGGAGACCTTAGTCCTCCTGTGTGTCTCCTTTACTCCCACTACTGCACACACACCTCTAACATGAATCCATGGGGTTTGTTCTCCACCAGGAAATTCTCTGCAACACCCACTTGGTGTCCTGTGATTTAACTCAATTCTGACATTATCTGCCTGGAAATAGGCTGAGATCCCACCCATTAAGGGCTCGGTCCCACAAGACTGCCCTCCCCACCCTCCACCCCCCACTTCAGATGCCGTTGGCGAGTCCAGGTGGTCACCTGTGCTTCTGACCAATCAGCTATAAATCTGAGGTTCCCACCGTCCCCTCCTTGGGTTCGATGAATTTGCTAGAGCAGTCCACAGAGCTCAGGAAAACAGTTTACTTACTGTTTAGCAATCTATTATAAAAGGTTATGACAAATGATGCAGACGAACATCCAGATGGAAGAAATGCATAGGGCAAGGTGTGTGGGCATCCATGCTCTATGCATGCGTCACTCTCCCAGCCCCAGCATGTGCTCACCAATGCAGAAGCTCTCAGAAGGCCTACTTTAGGGATTGTTATGGAGGCTTTATCACATAAGCATAACGAATCATTAACTCCATCTTTAGCTCTTCTCCCCTCCCTGGAGAATGGGGGGTGGGGGTGGGGAGGGCAGTCTTGTGGGACCGAGCCCTCCCACAAGAGGGGGTGGGGCTGAAAATCCCAAGCTTCTAATCACAGCTTGGTCTTTCTGGTGACCAGCCCCATCCAGGAGCTCACCAAGAGTCACCTCTTTACAACTAAATAGGATTGGACTTCCCTACGGTCGGTGTGGGGTTGGTGTGGGGAATTTCAAGGGATTTGGGAACTCTGTCAGGAAGTGAAGTCAGAGGCCAAACATTAGAACAAAAGATGTTCCTAGTGCTCTTATCTAGTAGGAAATTACAAGGATTTTAGGAATTCTGTGCCGGGAGCCCGGGGCAGAGACCAGTACATATATTTTCTATTATCTCACAAAAGCAGATTAAAACAGTAGAGTGAGGGATATAAACACCTACCATAGATCCCTGCAAAGGCCTCTAAGGTATGCACATGCTTCTTGGAACATATTCGGAAAATCATGTAGCTCTCAAGCTATCACTTTATCCCAAAGCCCACCTTCTTTACGTATCCTCGGAATCCCCGGAAATGCCCGCCCCACGTCCAGCTTCCTCCCATGCAGAGCCCAAGCTGTTCCAGGGTGGGAGGTGGGCGTTGGAGGAGGAGACTCTAACAGCCTCATTCACCTGGGCTCGTGAGTTTTTAATTCTGCCAGAAATCAGTGTATTTTTTTATAGTATTCTATGGCTTTACAAGAAGTACAAATACTACATGAGAGTTCAGAGATGGGGAAAATGTCACTTTAGGCTGGGGATCATCAGGGAAGAGGGAAGTTTTCTATGGAGGAGGTAACATTTGAACCAGGCAAGAATGGAAAGAACAGACTATTCTAGATAGAAGAGGCCAGGGGGGAAAGACAGAGGCAGGGAGACATGGGCATCCGTGGGAAAAGGCATGGGCTCCTAGCCTGGGAAGAGCCAGGTGGGAGATAAGAGGAAAGACCATTGGGGGCCATCCTATGAGCCAGGAGTTCCAGGCAAAGGGGGTTAGATTTTACTCATCGGGCATGGGTGCCTCAGTCAGGTCTCAGCAGAAAGCAAGAGGCACACTCAGGAGGGGTGACTGAGGCACACTTACAAGTTAAGGCACACTGTATTAGTTACAAATACAGAAGCAAGGTTAGGGGAGACCAGTGGGGGAGGTAGAGCACCCTGGAGCTGGCAAGAACAGGGAAGAGTTGACCAGCCCGAGGCCTGAAGGGGAAGGGGGAAGAAAGAGTTACCACGAGGCTGGAGAGAAATAGTAGGAGAGGGCCACCCACAAGGATAAAGCCAGTCTGCAACCTGTCTGGGAGGTTGCTGGAGCATGCACACCCCAACCTCACGGTGTTGCCCATTACTATCTTCTTTATCCTCTAGCCTGAGAGAAAAGCAGGGAATGGAAGCTAGGGAAAAGAGAGGCCGATGAGCTGTCCAGTGTCATCCTCCTGGGACCTGAGCGGGGTAGAGCAGAGAGGAGAATGAGTCTGCAGGAAACAATGGAAATGTCTGGTACAATGGGGAACTAGCAAAGATTTTGAATAGGGGAGTCCCATGAACTGAACCGAGCTGGCTGCCGGCCAGAGAATGGAGGGAACAAGGCTCTTGCAATAGGTCTGGAGAGATAGGCTGAAGATGCAGACCCAGGGCAGTGGTCGAGGGGTGCAGACAAAGGTTAGGACCTATGCTGCCCTCGGATGCATGAGCTTTTCCCCTTTAGCACTTCCTCACTCCAATCTGATTTTTGAGAGCTTATATACTTACTAATCAGAAAACTGATTTTCCTATTTGTGGACTTCTCTCCTCAGATTTGAACCTGTGGTTTCAGGAGCTGGGGTGACCTGATGGGACATCCTCGAGAAGCTTCTGGACTCTGAACAAAAGAGAGGCAGCACCCGGCCACGTGTGCTTAAGGAGGCCAGGCAGCCCCCCACGCGCCCCCGCCGATCCAGGCGCTCACCCCTGCAGCCTGTGACTCTAAACAAGCACTATAGCACTTTAGAAAATGACCCCCCGGATCCTAGACCCCGATGTGTCCTGAGGCTCCTTCTTGCTGCCAGACTGAAAACAAGGGAATTTCCCCCCCTACTTTTCCAAAGTGATTTCCAGAAGCAGAGATGAGTGGAAATTTTCAGTTACAGAAATGGACCAATTGCCAATACAGTTATTTTTATCTGCAGTTTCTTCTGGATTCTGGAAAAGCCTGTTGAGGCCATGAACTCACAGAGCTTTAAACAAAGTTGAGCCATAATTGGCGTATCATATGGCTTAGTGGAACCTTGAAAGAATCTGAGTTATTTTAATTAACAGAAAGCATTTAAGTACACAGTGGACAACTCCAAATTGTAGAGAAAGGCCGTTGAGTATTTTTGTGAGATCTAAATCACAAAGCATTTGTTTTAACCTGTAATGGCCCCATATTAAAAGATGTTTTAAAACTACATCTTCCCTTTTAAAAATGCTATTTTTTTTAACCTCAGAAACCAATGGCATATATTTAAAAAATTTGGCATGCTAATGTGCTGTACCTACAAAGATTTCAGATGGGTACCCATAATGGTCAAAGCCCCAAACGAAGGCTCCTTTCCTGGCCCTCTCTCTGACTTTAAACTCCACCTTTCAGTGCTTGGTCCATGTCTGGGTTACAGTGACGCGAGTCAAGGCCTTTGATGTGGAGTCCCCTTCCGTGGGTGTCGAGGGGAAGGGTAACTGCATGCAGCGACAACTCATTAATCCTGTTAAATTAGGTCTGTGTGCTACAGCTATGAAGTTCAGCTATTGTCGAGCACAGCAGAGTCCTGGTCAGTGGGTTTTCTCTCTGGGTTTGGATCCCTGAGGATTGGAACACATGTTATTGTGTTGTGTATCCTTAGATTGTGAGCTCCCGGAGAGCAAGGAGGGAGCAGGATTTTGTCAATGCTGCAGCGTGTTGGGTGGGATAGAGGCCTCGTGCACGATTGGCTCTAAGGCTCATCCTAATATGGAAGAGAATGCCTACACGTAACATTCTTACTTTTTTTTTTTTTTAAGATTTTTTTAATTTATTTATTCATGAGAGAGAGAGAGAGAGAGAGAGAAGCAGGCTCCCACGGAGCAGGGAGCCCGATGCGGGACTCGATCCCAGGACCCTGGGATCATGACCTGAGCCTAAGGCAGACGCTTAACCATCTGAGCCACCCAGGCGCCCCGTAACATTCTTACTTTTTATGACCATAATATGAATGGCTAAAAAGCAGGTAATGGCAATCCTTGAAAACAAAAGAGCTGGATGAGTTCTGTGTCTTAAAAAAAAAAAAGTACCTTTTACAAAGGAAGCAAAAATAGCATTTGGGAGAGTTTGAGGAATTGAGAAAGACCGAACAAACAAAAATCACCTATGATCTCATCATCTCAACACAAGTATTTTCATTTTTGCTGTTGGCTTTTGGTCCTTGTCCAGACATGTATACGATTTCAGCCATAGTTGTGATTTTCTGTCCTTTTTTTCAAATTTATCATCGTACCACGGGCTCCCACCTATGTGGCTGACTAGTCCTCCTAATTATCATTTTTTAATGGATGCATGAGTCACAGATCATAAAGAGCGGGGATTGGGCCCAAACTCTCTTCATCCCCTGACCATTATAAGCCCATATTTTGACTATGGACTACAGTGACATTTAGGCTTCCTAAGGATTAGTATCATTTCAGAAGGGTGTTTAGGAAACCCTGAAAAGCCTGGGTATTTCCATTTCCCCCAGTGCACAGACACCTTCATAAATGACCTCAAGTCCCTTTGGGGATGACTTCAAGGTAGATCTACAGTATCCATGGCGTTGTTGTAGGATCCTTTCTGAGAACTGGGGAAGAAGCTATGATTCTCAGTTGTGAAAACTCAAGTCAGACTTCTATTATATAGATCAAGTAATGCTTTGGTAGGCTGGCCGTCCACTGAATTCTTAGGACCAACCACCACTGAAGATTTCCTACAAGCAAAGAATTCTGATTGCTATTCTGGAATCTTATCCTCTCCACCGAAATCAGGAAGCCCATCTCAGGGGCATTCCTCCCAGCACCCTTGGCCTGCAGAAAACAGCCCCCCTGGAAGTGTCCAAGGTGGCTGGGGCTCCCTCTCTAATGCATTTCTCAATGCTTTAGTGAAGGGAATATTCCTTGGGCCCTTTCAAGGTGAGGAAAGATGCACAGTTTACACATGATAAATTACTCCATTATTCCTAACTCCTTAAACCTTTAGGATCCTTCCTGTACATTATTCCACAGAAATTCTATCAACTCAATGTTGCTGTTGAACACAGGTTTCAGTCAAACAACTAAGTAAACAGACCACTCCCAGTTGCTCAAACTCATACATTTATTTCAGCTTGCTTTCACTGTATAACAAAACTTAACGGCTTATGTTTCTCACTTATGCTTTTATGATTGTGTATGTTAGCAATTTAGGCTGGGTTCAGCGGGGGCAACTCATTTCTGCTTTTTAGGGCATCAGCTGGGCTCACTCAAGCATTTGCCATCAGTTGACAGATGGCTTGGAGGATGCTGGTCTTAGGTGGCCTCACTCACATGTCTTGGAGTTGGTGCTGGCTGTGGGCTGAGCCATGTACCTTCAGCAGGTCTATCCGTGCTTTTTTCAGTATGGAAGCTGGTCCAAAAGAGCAAAAAGAGGTCCAACCCCAATGTGCAAGTAGTTTTCAGGTTTCTGTTTGCATCACATTTGCTAATGTCTCATTGGCCGAAGCAAGTCAGATAGCGAGGCCAAAATCAATGTGGGAGGGACTTACATGAGGGCCTGATCTACAAAAATGGTATATATATAATTTCCTGGGGACTATTGCTATAACAATCTACCATAGCATTAAGTCCAAAAACCTATGGAGAGTGTATCGTATCAGGGCTACCTAAATTTGGCCCCAACCCAATGCTGTATTCTGTTTTCCTTGGGTCTGATACCCTTAGAGTCCAACTCAGTGTATATTAATGAGGTTCCTTCTAGTATAAATTTAACAAAATCTTGTGATTCTTTTGGAGTAAAGCCTTTCCCTCCAGAGCCAGCCTCTGCCCTTCTCCCCCTGAATATGCTGGTATCTGACTCTAAATAAAAGCCCAAAGACCATGAGAGCTGAGAGCAGTAGGGTTTAAAAAGGATAGGGATCCCCATGCAGGACAGCTGTCTTATCTGTGCTTGTTACAGGTTTTCGAGCAAAGGAAGGCTGGTGTCATCAAATAGGAAAGGAGAGGTTTCTTCCAAGGGAAGCTCAGACCTAGCACGGATAGACCGTACGTAATGCAATGAATCACAATGCCATTGCCTGCCAGAGATTACCAGTTCCCATTTTCCAGTGGCAAAGAGTTTGGCTCTGAGTTCAAAGCAAATCACCCCCAGCATCCAGGGTGTGGTCTGTTTCCTAGGACTACTCCTGGTATCCAGTCCTGTACCAGCCAGGGTCCAGTCAGGAAAGTGGAGTGGATTTAATATTAGGGATTGGTTATAAACATATTAGAAGGCAGAAAGAGTGAAAGGTAGATACCAAAGAAATCCAAATATTAGAGCTGCAAACGGCAGCTAACTTTCTGCTGTGAGCGGCTTACAGAAGGGACAAATGCAGAAACTGGAAACAGGAAGAATTCTCTGCCTCCCCCATTCCCATCCCCTAGGGCCTCCCAACTTGAACTTTATAGGAAGCCAGCCGGCAAGGCAAGCTGGTAAATGCAGTTTGCTGAAGTCCAGCCCAAGCCTGGCAGAACACAATAGAGGAAGGTAGGCTTGGAACTGAGAACAGGAGGTAAATAACCAACCAATTCCTGCATCAAAACTTATCTAGGTAAATAGAGATATAGTCCCTGAGAGAGGAAAATACAGAGACAATGGATTCTAGTTAGATTGTGGCACAAGGAACTTTCTTAAACTTTGTGGCCTTTGACCATATAACAAGGGCTTAATATATATTTATTGGTTAATTGGATAAGAAGATAGCAATTGGGAACTGCTTTGGCCAGGAGCATAGGACAAAATAAATTTATTTTTAAATGCATTTTGTAGGAGAAGTATCAGTTGCATCATTTGATTGCAATTGAAAGAAAACCTGATGCAAATGGGCTTATATTAAAAAAAAACAAAGTGCATTGGCTTCTGTAACCGAACAGCCAAAGGTGTGGGTGGGCACAGGGGTCTCTCTACCATCTCTTCCCTCTGCTTACTTTTTGTTGACCTGTTGTCAAACACGACTTTGTATTCTCAACAGCAGCCTCCTCTTAGGGGAAGTAAACTCCAAACAGCATGTTTTCTGCTCAGTTCTGTTTGTCCTATAAAAATAGAATTCCATGTTAAAACAGAACAGCTACAAGAAGTACAGAGGAAGCAACTAATGGCCAGAATTGGGGGTTGGACAGATCGAACAGAAATATAACCAGGCTAAAAAGAAAGAAAGAAAGAAAAAAGAAAAGAGAAAAGAAATATAATCAGACTGCTGGTCAAATCAGGGAACTTCCCAGTGTCTCAACCCACTTGCTTTAAAACTCAGCACATGAAATGCTCAACTTACAGGTAATTTAAAGTTTAAATCAAAACGAAATTTAAGGAGGCCTTTTCAACCATAACATTGGCAAATACTTTTTAATGATAATATTGCTCCAGAATATGTTGTCAAATTGGTAGACTCATAAATTGTTAGTGGTCATATAAATCAGTACAGTTTTTTTTTTTAAATTTTTATTTATTTTTTTATTCTTATGTTAATCCCCATACATTACATCATTAGTTTTAGATGAAGTGTTCCATGATTCATTGTTTGTGCATAACACCCAGTGCTCCATGCAGAATGTGCCCTCCTCAATACCCACCACCAGGTTAAACCCATCCTCCCAACCCCCTCCCCTCTAGAACCCTGTTTGTTGTTCAGAGTCCATCGTCTCTCATGGTTCGTCTCCCCCTCCGATGTCCCCCGCTTCATTCTTCCCCTCCCGCTACCTTCTTCTTCTTTTTTTTTTTTCTTAACATATATTGCATTATTTGTTTCAGAGGTACAGATCTGAGATTCAATAGCCTTGCACAATTCACAGTGCTTACCAGAGCACATACCCTCCCCAGTGTCTATCACCCAGTCACCCCATCCCTCCCACCCCACCCCCCACTCCAACAACCCTCAGTTTGATTCCTGCGATTAAGAATTCCTCATATCAGTGAGATCATATGATACATGTCTTTCTCTTTTTGACTTATTTCACTCAACATAATACCCTCCAGTTCCATCCACGTCGTTGCAAATGGCAAGATCTCATTCCTTTTGATGGCTGCATAATATTCCATTGTATATATATACCACTTCTTCTTTATCCATTCATCTGTCGTTGGACATCTTGGCTCTTTCCACAGTTTGGCTATTGTGGACATTGCTGCTATAAACATTGGGGTGCACGTACCCTT